TAGATAGATAGATAGATAGATAGATAGATAGATAGACAGACAGAAAGAGAGAGAGAGATGGATGGATAGTAGATAGATAGATAAATGGATGGATGGATGGACGGACGGACGGAAGGACAGACAGACAGATGGACAGACAGTCAGGCAGACAGTTTATAGATGATAGAATAGATAACCTTAATTCTTTAACAGATTAACAGAATTGGAAGGGACCTTATAGATCATTTAGTCCAACCCTCCATCCAAGCAGGATACCATATACCATTTCTATACACCATACAGTAGATATTGATGATAAATTGTTATGAGAGAGAGAGATAAATTGGTGATAAATTGATATAAGAGAAAGAGACAGAGAGACAGAGACAGACAGACAGAGAAAAACACACACAGACAGAGAAAGAGAGAGAGAGGTAGAGAGAGGTAGAGAGGTAGAGAGAGGTAGAGAGGTAGAGAGAGAGAGTGGTAGAGAGAGAGAGACAAAATTAGAGATTCCTATAATTTAAGGATCCTGGGTTGGGGGTGGGATTTCTTCCATCACTTTTCAATTACATGACAAATATTTTCACCTGGGTCTTTGCTTTTGGATACTTAGCCGAAGGGGCAAACACTGAAATGTTCAAAATCAACCCACAAAGGCAATCAAGCACCTATTTCACACCCGTATATGGTTCATCAAACATCTGGGGGAAATACATTTCTCTCTCATCCACATTTGCTCATCTTCAGTTTCCGTCATGCAGAATGCACAGCATTAGCCAAACCGCACGATTTACAGTAAAGCCATCATCTGTGCTGGGAAGCGGAGCTGTCCTTAGGACATATTTCAAAATAGTTAAAGGTGGAACGGTGTGATCGAAGCTTTATCTCCTTTCTATGATGTGTGTCATCTTTATTTATTTTTTACTATAAGAGAATTGGTGGCTCACAGACAGAGAGTTAGACTAGAAGACCTCCAAGGTCCCTTCCAAGTCCCTAGGATTCTATGAAAGAGAGAATAGGCTTTCTGTCCAAAATGACCTTCCAAAAACTCCTTTAAAACTTTTCCCCTTCCAGTCCTGGTTCCAGAATATCCCTAGCTTAATCCGGCTTCAAATCCCTAGCACCACGTAACGGAGGGAGCTCCCGTGAC